GAAACAGTCTTTGTAAATGCAGACAAGCAAAAAAAAAAAAAAGTGTGTCTGGGAGATTATTACAATTCAACTAACCCAGCCATCATTTCCCGAGTGCCAGCCTTGTAGAAAGAAAGATATTACGTGGCTTCCTAGTTCCAGTGATGGTGGACTAGGTTATTTGGACTAACTCTCCCACCGAAAACAACTTAAGAACTGGCTTTAAATAATAATAATCTTCAAGGCCTTCAAGGGGTTGGCACGACAAAGAGTTACCCAGAAGAGAATGATGGAGAAATGGAAACCCAGAGAGAGAAACGAATACAAAAGCTACCTTTTCCCCAAGAGTCTTTCTAAGTCTGGCAAGTGTTAACATTGGTTTTGATCACCAATCAGGGCAAGGGAGACAGAGATCAGCACCCAAGGCCACTCAAGGTGGGGAATGTGATGATAGACCACCCCCACAGTAAGCTGAGACCCAAAGGATACACCTTCAAGGTGAATGTGAATTACAAGTCGATGAACCCTCACAAGTAAATGCAGTTTGGACTGCAGTTTTATTGGTTTTCCAGGGACTCTCACGCATGGTAATCCCAGACAGACCAGCAATAAAGGCTGTCTTGTGTAGAGCAAGGCGCTTTCAGCCTAGGCCTCGAATAATTATTCAATTGATTTTTTTTTTGTACAATAGCTAGCACAGAGTCAAAGATGAGCAGACACAGACATCATGAATGAGAAGAAACAGAACAATAGACAATAGAAAGAAGCCCTTATAGCTCAAGTACTGGAATTATTAGGCACTGATTCTTAAAATTTTTAAAAATCATACATATTAAGTGGGAAAAAATCAGGTTTGAAGATATATGCAGGGAATAGGAAACTATAAAAAGTTTCTTTCCACCCAGCATGGCTCAGTGGTTGAGGGTTGGCTTATGAACCAGAAGGTCACAGTTCGATTACAGGTCAGGACACATACCCGGGTTTCGGGCTCGATTCCCAGGAGGGGGCGTGAAGAGACAGCCGATCAGTGGTTCTCTCTCATCATTGATGTTTCTGTCTCTCCTTTCCTCTCCCTTCCTCTCTGAAATCAATAAAAAATAGATATTTTTAAAAAGAAGTGACACAACCAATTTTTTAAAAAACCAAATAAGAACTTCTAGAAATGAAATGTACACTATAACCCACATCATTGGATGTGTTGTGTTCAACAGCATATTAAACACCACTGAGAAGGTGATAATACAGCGAAATGTAGAGCTAGAGAAATGATCCCAAATAAAACACAGAGAGAAAAAAGATGGGAAATCTAGAAGACATGGTTTGGTATGTGAGAGGATCTAACATTGAATCAGAGTCTCAGACAGAGAGGGAGAGTGGAGCAGAGGCAATATTTTACGAAACTATGGCTCAACATCTTTCAGAAAGATTCCAAAACACCAAACACAGAAGCACAACAGATTTCAAGGAGAATAAATAAAAAGAATACCAAGGCACCAAGAGACAATAGTGTAAGTGCAGAAAGGTGACGGAAAATAAGTAGTAGCCAGAGTCAAAAAGGCAGCCGCTCTGATGGGACTAACAGACTAACCCAGCTCCCAGGCGGCAGCGGGGAGAGTCTTAAAATAATCGCCAACCTATAACCCCATCCTTAGGGACACCTCTTTCATGAATGATGGCAAAATAAAAACATTTACAAAGGAAGACCCTCAGTGAGGGAAACTGTAAAGCAGTGGTTCTCAACCTTCTGGCCCTTTAAATACAGTTCCTCACGTTGTGACCCCCAACCATAAAATTATTTTCATTGCTACTTCATAATTGTAATGTTGCTACTGTTATGAATCATAATGTAAATATCTGATATGCAGGATGGCCTTAGGCGACCCCTGTGAAAAGGTCGTTCGACCGCCAAAGGGGTCGCGACCCACAGGTTGAGAACCGCTGCTGTAAAATATGAGCTTTAGGCAAAAAGAAAAAAAATAATCCCAGAATAACCTAAAGCATCAAGAAGGAAGAAGAGCAAAGGAGATAAATGTTACTAAACATTGTCTTCAGAATAATAATAATGATGTCTTATGAAGGATTAAAATATGAGGTGTTAAAATATACACCAGTGAATTAGTAGGGACTGGGGGGTAAATTAAGGTGTTCTGAGGCCCTTGTATTGTCAGGGAGGAAAGTCAATGTGTTGATTAAAAACAAGCTTTGAAAAATCAAAGCTGAACTATTAGGCACTAATTCTTAAATTTTTTCCTGCCCTAGTGGGTTTGGCTCAGTGGCTAGAGTGTCAGCATGTGGACCGAAGGGTTGCAGGTTCCATTTCGATCAAGGGCACATACCTTAGTTGCTTGGTTACCAAAATAAGATGGTAGACTTAATCCAAATATTGGATTGATATCAGATTGATTCCTGGCTCTGGTTGGGGACTGTGCGGGATGCAATAAATCGATGTATCTTTCTCACATCGATGTTTCCCTTTCTGTCTCTTTTCCTCCCTTCCACTCTCTCTAAAAATCAATGGAAAAAATATCCTCAGGTGAGGATTAACAACAACAACAAAAAAAGATGAATCATGTAATTTCTAAAAAAAAAAAAAAGTACTTAGCCCTGGCTGGTTTTGCTCAGTCCAGTTTGCTCAGTGGTTAGAGTGTTGGCCTATGGCACTGAAGTGTCTCGGGTTTAATTCCAGGTCAAGGGCACGTACCTCTGTTGCAGGTTCCCCAACCCCTGTAGAGGCACGTGCAGGAGGCGACCAATTGATGTGTCTCTCTTATCCCCAACCCCTGTAGAGGCGCGTGTAGGAGGCGACCAATTGATGTGTCTCTCTTTCTCTCCCCCCTCCGCCCTCCCTTTTACTCTCTCTGGAAATCAATGGGGAAAATATCCTCAAGTGAGGATTAAAAATAAATGTAGTACTTAAAAAGTGCAAGAGAAAAAATGTAAATAAAAAATGAAGTCAAGAAAAGGAATGCCAGCATAGAGAAGGTGTTACAGCAGAATAAGATGGTGGACTTAAATCCAAATATTGGAGTGATGTCAGGTTGATATCACTGTGAATGGCTTGTGCAGCAGTAGTAGTTATTAAAATATTGAACACTTTCTGTACAAGTTGACAAATAGCTTCTGCCCTGAGCCCTCACCCCACGGATGGGCATGGTCATTGGGTTGCTTTTTTGTCTCCCAGTTCACTACATTCCTGTCCCCCAGTCCATATCCTTATTCCTCCCGAGGTCAGAGGACGCCCCAAATTGTAGGGGAGACACAGGCTTGGAAGCAGTGGTGGAACCCCGAGAGCAGATGCTCCGTTCCTTCTGTCCCTTCATGGCTGCAGATCCCCTAGAGCTGCCCTCTCCTGGCCACTGGTGAGAACTGCAACCTCCACAAAGTCCCCTGTGAGTTGTTAAATATTCTATCACCAGTAGATCAGTAACTACATTAAATGTAAATGGGCTAAATGCTCTGATTTACAGAGCATCTGCAGCGAGATTGCCAGAGTAGATTTTTTTTAAAATCCAACTATATTTCATTCAAGAGACTCATCCAAAACGTAAGAATATAGAAATTTTGAAAGGGTAAGGATTGAAAAATAGATACACCGTGTAACTAACTACTGCTGGGCTAAAGAATGCTAGCCAATGTATCTGTATTAATATCGGGGGTACAATAGACTTCCAGATGAAAAGCATTACTCGGGAA